GATAGAAGGGAGGGTGGGGGTCTCCTCTTAGCAGTGCTGCCATGGATGCTGCTGCTCCCCTCCCCTCACTCCTTGCCTGTGGCTTGGAGGGCTGACCCCACAGACTGTGGCATTTTTCCCACCCCCCCTCCCTCTGTGGCAGTGGCTGCCTGGTCCTGGCTAGGGCTGGCCTGGCCAGGAGGATCAGGGTGCACCCTGAGTGGACTGGCTATTGTTGCCCACAACCAGGCTGGGACCCAGGAATGAGCTAAACCAGCGGAGAGCTGGGCTCCCTGTGTGTGGTGGTGGGAAGGGAGGGCAAGCCCAGTGCAGCAGGAGGTGCTTCGGAAAGGCTGGGACAGGACTTGCTGCAGCCTGTTCCCCACCGCGTGGGTGGTGCTAGCCAGCTGCCCCAAATGGGAAAGCGCTGCCTGTAGCACGGAGGGCTGGGAGTTGGCATGTGGCAGGGAGGGGAGGTAGCCTTCAGGGGCTGGCTTCTTGGGCAATGCCTGCTCTGCTGTGAAGGGCTCCCAGCTGATGGGCACAGACCCACCCAGGCTCCCTCTCCTGCCTTCAGAGCTAGCTGTCCTCCTGGCACGCCCCTCACCCCCGGCCAGGGGCTGCCACTTCCGTCCCGTAAGTGCAGAGCCAGTGGAGGGTGCATACGGGCACCCCTGGGGCCAGGCAGGCAGGAGCCACTGACAGTCTCCGTGAGGGGGGCTGGTAAGTTGGGGGTGGGGGGAGGGGCTGCAGCTGCTTTCCCAGGCAAGCTTGGTGGTGGCTTGTCCCTTCCCTTGTGCCCAGGAAGCTGGGTGAGCTCTGAACTGTAGCAAAGCCCTGCAGCCTGGACCTGGTGGGATCCCTGGCACTGGGGGTTCAGGGGATCACTGGCTCTTCTTCAGCCCCCCCCACTCCTGACTGCTCAAGTACCTCTGGAAAGAGCATTTCAGGTCAGCTTGGCACAGAGGCTCAGGCCCCTCCCTTGGGCATCTGTAGCCTGGCAGGGGGATAGCAGACAGCTCTGGAATATCTCCCCTCCCCCCCATGCACCTGGGAACCCCATTCCCAGCTGGCTCAGCTGTGTTGGGATGGGGGCCTATCTAGGGGCATGCTCCTTTCTAGCACCCCCTCCTTGGCCATGTGGTACCAAACCTGCTCCCAGCCACAGGAGCCGTGCCCAGACCTGCTGCCTCCCTGGCCCATGGCACCTTTGGCCCATCCTCTGTGGCCAGAGCTGTGTTGGCCCTGAGCTTCACACTGCAAGCCCCTCCCTGCAACCCCTCCCATATTCAGAAAAGTGTTTCACGTTTTTATTGAATGCTATTCTAAATGCGGGAGGTAAAGCAGGGTTGGAAGCTGTCGTCTCCCCACCCCCACATAATCTGGTGACCTCGGAGGGGTTGTGACCCTCCCTCCCCAGTTGGAGAACCCCCTGGGTTTGTCTCAAGGTGGCATCTCTAGGGGAGGCTGCAGGGAGCCAAACTGACAGTCTCCAGACATGAGTAAAGGGCCAAGTTGCTCAATCGCAATTGCCCCCTGCTCCCTTGGGCCCCAGGGCGGTTTCTCAACCCTAGCAAACATTCCAGAGGACGGGTGGGTGCTGGGTCGGCCTGGGTCCTGGCAGGGTCAGCTTGGTCGTGGGGGGTGGGGAGCCAGCCTGCTGGGCGCCCACGTGCCTCTGGGTTGTGCGCCCCCCCCATCTGACCAACTGCAGGTCAGGATTTAAAGCAGCCCTTGGAAGTGGGAGGGAGTGGTGCACTCGGAGGCACCCAGGAAAGGCTGCAACTGGCCCCCTGGGAACCTCCCCCTGCAGACTAGCTGGGAGGGAACTGAAATCACACCCCTCCTCCCCCCACCACTTCCTACCCAAGCAGCCCCACTCGCTAGCATCACCCTGGGAGCAGGAAGTGCCCTGCAAAGGTGATAAGTTGCTGTCCCGGAAACACTGGTGCAGCGTCATGGTGGGGGCTGTTGGCTCAGCCCTGCGTGGGGGCAGGGGAGAGGGCCTGGCAGGCTCTTATCAGGGAGTGTCCGGATCCCAGCCAGAGGCAGTTGCAGTTTGCTCTAGAAGGAGGTGGTTGCTGTCCTGCTCACTGCATCCAGCACGGTCCAAAAGGCCCTGTGAGGGTAGGCACCTGGGCGCCCTCTCCCCGAGACTCTGCTAGCGCTGCCCTGCGGACACAGATGGTCCCCAGGCTTGGGCGCATCAAATGCTGCTGCTTTCTTCCTCCAGGAGTCACAGCAGAGCTGCCCATGTGCCCCATCCCTGGTCACGGCTCCTCCTGCCCAGCCCCACCCACTGCCCTCCTCACAGCCCAGCCTTCTCTGCAGCTCCTGGGTACGACCCCCTTTGCGCCCACATGCTGCAGGTGCCTGGTTCCTATGCTGGGGTAATTTCAGCGTGTCTAGCTCTCTCGGGGAGGCAGGAATCCCAGTCTCTCCCAGCCAGGGGAGCCCTTTGTACAGCCCCCAGTGTGGCCTCGCTCTGTCTCCTAGCACTCATGGCTTCCTGGCCAGGCACTGGCAGCAAGACGGCCCCTCCCCTTCCCCAGGTAGGGGTGCTGCCCGCAGCCCTTGCAGAGGGGAAGAGGTCTCCTGCCCACCTTCACGATGGGAGGATGAACTCTCCCTGGCCAGAGGTGCAGGATTCTGTGACTCCAGACTTTCACTCCTCCCTCTTTCCCTCCCCCCCTTCCCAAAGCCTG